TGTTTAATTGTCGAAAAATAGCAGTTAAACATAGCTCAATTTTTTCCTTAATATAGCAACATGAAACAGGGATATAAAAGGGAAGGGAAAAGGGGGAGGATATAGGATAAAAACTTCAATATCTTTGTCGTCGTTGGTGCCATCCTTTTAAATGTCTTAAAAATTTGGTTGATTTCAACAACTTTTACGTGACTGAAATAGAAGAAATAAAGTTTTTTTTGAAGCAGCAAGAGACAGGAATGTTTACTACAGTGTTTAAAGTATGTAAAAGAATGCAGGAAAAAAAATTGGGAGATATGTACTGTATTTCAGGAATTATAATTCTTGAACAGCAAGAAAAAAATGGTTCAGTAAACAGTAACTGGGCAAAACAGTTGAACTCCACTTTTAATACAAATTTGATTGCATCAAGTAATTTATTGGTGTCTATACCTCAATTAATATAGCATCACTTTTTTGCTGCTCCAATTAATTTTTTTAGTCTTTTTAATGCCTTCTTTTGCCATCCTTTCCAGTTTTTTTCTTGTAATTTTCCTGCGAAAAATTTATGCTTAAACCAAGAAAAAATTTCTGAATTTAGTTAGTAATAAAAATTGGAATTTTCTTCTTTGAAAAAAAAGTTATTAGTACTTTGAAGCGAGCTGATATCACCATCAATTAAGCAAAATGAAGAAATAGGAAAGAAGAAAAAATGAATAGTTTTCCTCTTTTCCGTCAATCCCCCAGCTTCCGCCTCTCCTCCGATGTTCCCCTCAGCTCCTCTTCTCTTCCTCTTCCATCTCCTCCTTCAATTGGTTTCTTTCTTCCGTTCAGTTTGCCGTAAAAACTTTCACCACGCACCTTGTGAAATAAAATAATTTTGGTTTTTCTCATCCTATTTCTTTTTTCCCTTGTTAAATCTGACGCCATTTATAATTTTTTCTCATTCTTGAGTTACATATGAACAGTTTTTGTCCCGTTTTTTCTTCTTCCATGGCACAGCATTTTTTTTTTCGCCTACCGCCTCTGTTACCCTGGCGTACAGGATGTTTAACTGTCGAAAAATAGCAGTTAAACATAGCTCAAATTTTTCCTTAATATAGCAACATGCAATAACAACGACAGCATTAACAAAGAAAGTATCAAAAGGCACAAAAAAGCAAATATCGCTGAACGAAATAAAAGTGCTTCTTTTTTAATGAATATTATTGATAGGCAATATATTCCAATTTTATCAACTATTGAATAACAAATAAAACAAGAAATTAGTAGTAATAGGTTGATACAATTAACTGTATTAGGTTGTAAATTATTCGTCATTCAACAGTAATCACAGTGATGCTTTGACGAATAATATTATCTAATCAGAAAGGAAGGCAAAAATGAAAGAAGGCAAAAATGAAGAAAAAACTCCTTCTTTTTTTAGCTTTATATACCGTATTGTTTAACACAATAAAAAATGAATGCTGAGATATCTTTGATAGCCGATTTTTTTCTACGACACTTTTGAGCAATAATCATTTGGATTAGATGGATATCGTTGTGTTATTTCTATGACCATTTCTATTACTACTATTGTTACTATTATCATCACTGTTGTTGTTGTTGTCGTCGTTATTTTGTTGCAAAAGCAAACCGATTTTGAACAATTGATGGGTTTTAAGGCATAAGAAGAAGAAAAAGAAGAAGAAGAAGAAAAAAAAAAACATCTGTAAGCAGTAGTTTTTCAGTGTATTCAGCATACACTTTCAATGCCATTTTTAGTGACACTTCTTAATGCCAACATTTTAATACCATTTCTTTAGCAGCAAATTTTCAAGCACAGCACAGCACACACCACACAAATACACAACATACACTTATCGTCCCCCTTCCCCCCCCCCCCC